TGTATTTTTCGCATTTTTACTTTTTTTGCTTCGTCGGGCTGATTCGTGTAAACAAAAATTGGAGATTTTGATTGGTCATGCATAACGGGAGATCTCGTGATGGACCTGGCTTTAAGCGACCCCCCGATTTGGATTCTGTGATGATCATATTCAAATTTGGTATGTACTCTGTACTTCTACTTCAACGTACTCACTTGACCAATCAGATTTGCGCATCAAATAAAATATTTTATGATTGGATCTCTAAAGTTCTTAGAACGTTTTCGTCAAGAAAAATGATTTTTATACGTAGAATTGCTAGATTTTTTTTACCACTGTATCTTGTTAAATCGCTTAGTTGTTTCAAGGTAAAACTAAAAGCGTTTTATTTAATTTAAATATATACTTCAAGAAATGTTTCAAGTTCGGTATTTCTATCAAGTTCGTTTTTATTTTTTACTTTTGATTTTACTTAACTATTTTTTTTTTTTTTTTTTATCATTCGATCACAATAGATTATTAATAAATACACTTTTTTTTTTTGTTTAATTTATAGTATATATGAAATAGATATTAATGTTTCTGTTTTGTAATACGATAGTATGTCCCTTTCGTCTTGGAGGTAGGAATTTCACATTCATCATACAAATCGATAGTAGATTTTCTCTTCATTCCTGCATCCACGATTGATTCTAAATGTGAACTGGTCATTTTATTTCGGTCTTTTGGATCATACCGATTCCAAACTTTTTGGATTGCTTCAACCCAATCGTCAAAGGTAACGTCAGGATTTTCTTCAGGTTCTTTTTCGCTTGATGTAAATGTGGTATGTTGAATTGGTGGCATGTGGAACTTATAGCATACAGCAAAAATATGCTTGCATGCTATTCCACGAAACTTAAAGTCAGAACATATACATTCAAGATGTCCTGGCTTTATGTTATTATTTTTTTGTATACAATCTTTTAAACTAACTTTATAATTATTACCTGTTAAAGATTTTATAAGATAATGATGGTTACCAGGTAGATTAAGGATCTCAAAATTTGAACCAGAAATTTCACAGCGCTTTTGTTCTTTCTGGTGGGGCTTCATTCTTCCTATCATTAAATGAACTGCATTACACTCGAATTCTGCATCTTTTAGAGCAGCATGCAATGTCCAAATTAAAGTATCTATTCTATGGTTCTGCTTTGTATCCAAGTAAGAATACTTAAATTTTTTATGCCAAGATTCTAAAAAATTTGTAGTATTCATTTCTTGGTGCTCATATTGACAGTACGCATCAACCCACTTTTTATAGTTACCTTTATATTCATTTTTTATATATTCTGTCCACACTTTTTTACCAAAAGATGTCCATCGTGCAAGGTATTCATCAAATTTAATTTGCACTCGAGAAGCATCTCGAATCCGCATAATAATACTAAGCTCATCTAGTGCTATCTTTTGAGTAACTTGCTTTGCTGATCGTTTAAATATATTATTATTTTCATTTTGTTCCTGTGCTTTAAAATGATTATTATTAATTTTAATTTTATTTTTATTTTTTTGCCAGGCATTTTTTACATGCCACTGGCATAACAGGATTGTGGCCTCAGGATATATGACATGAATGGTATTTTGTTGTGCATCATCACAATCAGTTAGGAAGGTATGTGGCATTCATTCTTCATTTTGACCTTTAATGGCTTTAAGCCAATAAATTAAAGGTTCTCCTGATTTTTTTTTCAGATATCAAGTGCGCAACTGGTACACCTTGACTACCTTCATTATCACACACAAGTAAAGTGAAGAGATGTGTTTTATGTGATGTTGTTCCATGTGTACCGTCAATACAAACTGTTTGTGCACTTTCTAATTTTAATATATTTCTTTAAAATATAGTTTGAAATCCATATATGAAGCCTAAAGATAAACCCCAAGTTAAGTTACTACATGTATAGGATCCATCTTCTTGTGACATTGCGATCCACTCTTTAACTGATATATTTTTACTATACCTATCCTTTTCATTATCTAAAAATATTACACCTTTCATTTCCTTACTAACAATATTATACATATCAATATAGGAGAGATATGCATCCCGTTTTTGTATTAAAGGTAAAGAATTTACATCTTCAGCTTCATTAAGATTGTTAACGCGATAATGAAACATTGACACAATATGGGCTGGTTTTATTTCTTTTTTGGCTCTTGCACGAATCCATTCCTTTGCCTGTTGAGATATTTGAAAATACTGCAAATCTTCATCAGTACCTGGAGTATGACCGCTATGCTGTGTGTAATGAACAATATAAACCGCATCTTCTTCTTTATTGCTATTTTTTAATACCCTTAAGTACGACTTACAACCAACTTTTTTTGATAGTTTTTGAATAGGACGAGGATGGCTATGATTTGAGAGAGGTTTAGCAGCTCTTTCCATTATATCAGCTATTGATCATAGTGCCTATAATAATGACATACATATCTTTCATTCAACTCATATTTTAACCTCTTACGGTTATCTTTTCGAATATATCGGGCCCCTGCGATATTCGGTAGGATATTTTCAATCCAATTCTTATATGTATTTATATTAAGATGTGTATATATTTTTATAAAATCATTTTGATCTATATTATGTATTTCATTCTCGTCTATTTCTTGAAATTCGGCATTGTCACTTTCATCTGTCTCTTGCAATTCAGCCTCATTACTTGACAAATATGTACTGGTTTCTAACACATTGTTAATAAATATCCTTTGTTCGCTATAATTTAATTCTATATTTTTTAAATTAGAACTATTGCTAGAAAAGGATTCAGAATATGAATAATATATATTTTCTGCTTCTTGCAATTCAGTTAATACTTTTAGTGATCTTTAGGGTTCTTTTGCCAGTGGTATTCAAGTATATTTATAAGTTTTGTTTAATTATTCGATTTTTTTTATTTACAGAATTGCTTTTTTTTATGATACAAATGTAGAAGTAATTGATTTATATGAAATATACAGATAAGTTATTTTATTGAATTAATTTGAACAAAGTACATTTTCTTCTGCCAACTAAATATAGCTCTCATAAAAATTATTATTAGATAATGAATTTACTCACGTATTTCACAAAGAAAAATCGATTATACGGTGTACTGTGATTAGCTTTTAAATTACACAGTCAAATTTTTCTAAACGCCCTATGGAGACCAAACCTTTAATACTGTGTGTTTAGAGAAACAATTAGGGAAAGCGTGTTTATAGGTTCAAGTATATATGTTTGGGCCGAATTTAATTGTGCATTTAGAGAGGTTTCACTGTAATTATACCTTTCTAAATACCCTATAGAGACTAAACCTTTAATACTGTGCATTTAGAGAACAATAAAAAAAGCACATTTATAGAGTCAAGTATATGTTTGGCCAATTTAATAATACATTTAGAGAAATTATATTAGCGTGATATTTAACAATTTTATTCTAAGACCAATCTTTGATACTGTGCGTTTAGAAAACAGTAAAAAAGTGAATTTATAGGGTCAAGTATGTGTTTGAACCATATTTATAATTATATTTGCGTGATTTTTAACAATTTTATTCTCTCGAAATACAACAAACTTTTATTTTTTTGATGCTATCATAAGAGGGTGGTTAAATTCGCCCCACTATGTGTGTTTAAACTGATTAGTAGTACAGGAATTATACCCGAATATATAGCAATTAAATTAAAAGCTCATTAATAGTGGATATTAACAAATTACAAGGTTGTACTTTTTGATTGAAAATTTTTTAATAAAACTAAACTGATAACGATAATAGTTTCTGTACAGAATATTCAATGCTCAATTATTATTTGATTATTTAGACTTGATTTTATAATAAAAAAATACTGAAATAGGTAAAAAAAAAAAAGACGGTTTCAATATAATTAACTTATAAAATTTGTTGCTTGAATACTAATAACAATTAAATATAGCGAAATGTTGGTTTTAATCTAATAAAACCTATTAAATGTAAAATTTGATTATTATAATCATGACAAAAAAATGGACAGATCATATTAAAGCTTTGGACTGATATTTTTGGTTAATTTAGACACATAGCAGAATTATCATAGAACATATTTTTGATGCAAGCTTGCGCACTTTAATAAAAATTAAACTATATTAAATTAATTTATTGAGTACTAATTACCGTGTTTAAACAAAATATTTATTTTTGATTAATTTTAATGTTTAGCAATATTATCATGAAACAGCCTTTATAAAAGCGTGATTCAGAAAAAAATCGATTACGGTATTTAAAGTAGATATACAACATATATACCAAATTTGGATATAATTATCACAAAATCTAAATCAGGTGAAGAAACACATAAATGCACTCGTAATGACCCTGAAAATTTTGATCTACAACATACATAACAAGACTTTTCAGGGGCTAAAAATATTAAATTAAGCTCCAGACTTATACCGGTTTCTGGTTTTTAGTATACATAGTATAATAGTATACCTTGAAGTCGTAAAAAAAAATAATCTTCTTCAATTTTTTATTTATTTAAATTTTTTTTTTTTTGAAGTATTAGCAGCCTCGCTTGTATCTTTATTAGATCAAAGTAAATATACAAGACATTTTATAACTATCTAAACTACAGATCTAACATTACTTGGCTTCCTCTAAGGGCATCCAAGTGCGGTCTGCCTCACCGGTTAAAGCTATTGTCTATACCGGAGGGCTATACCAAGCTAGTCAGCAAAACCATAACAAGATAATTTTAAATCAAAAGAATTTTGACTACATCTAATTGGCAATTTTCTCTTACTAAACTAATCTTTTTTTTATAGTAATAATCTAAATTTAATTTTTTTCTAATAAGTAATTCTATTTTATTTCTCAATAAAAGGAAATTGTCAGAATTCTTTCATTTATATTTATATTTTCTCCTCCTCTTCTTCCAGTTTAGTTTATCCTTTCTGATAAGTGACCCAGCTTTTAGGAGTCTTCTTATATTCCTTTTAATGGTCTTCTCTTCTTGTTTCACAATACTGTAGTATTTTTCTGTTTTTTGAAAGTTTTTTCTAATGAGCTCTAGATGTATTCTTCTGTAAGTCTTCTTTTCTTCAAAGTGCCTTGGGCCTTCTTTTGGTCTTTTTACTTCTGAGTCTTGAATAGTTTGTCTGGATTCTTCTCTTTTTGTAATCTGGATTTGTATATCTTTGTTTTTTTTCTTCTTTACTTTTCTCTTTTTTTTTTTCCTTCTAGGCTTTGGTTTTTTTCTCAAAAATTTCTCTTGAATTTCATTCTAAATACTCTGATTTTCAAAGATTTCTACAAAGATCTTTTCTAATATCTTAAGTAATATATTTTTTTCTTCTTTTTCTAGTTCTTGGCATCTTTTTGTCTGTGTATTGAAGTATCTTGAATTTATTTTATATCAGAGTTTTTTTGTGCCTTCAAGTATTGTATCTATTTTATAAACAGGTCTTTCTTTTTATCTTTCATACTCTACTATCTGTTTGTAAGTTTATAATGCTTATTTGATATATTACTTGATTAGCCATTCTGTTGGGTTTATTACTTCAGCCTTCGGTCTTGTATCTTTTTGGATCTTGTCTAGGGCTTCTACTTTGTTAAGGCCTTCGATCTTTTGTCTTCTAGTTTCCTTTCTTTTTTTCTTTGGTTTTTTTTTTCTTTCTCTTTTGTCTTGCTAACTCTAGTTTGGCTGATACTTTAAAATTTGCAACCAGAGTTCTTAATACTATCTCATTGTTTTGTCTTTATTAAATTTTTTTTTATTCCTGAAGTCTCTTGCTCCAACCTGCTTCTAATTTTGATTTTATTTTAGCTGCTTGTTTTTTCTTTTGC